CTGGCGAAAATACATGAAAAGATAAAATCTTCGATAAAACGAAGAATTGAAATCCCACAGGTATTCGTGAGCCTGAATAAGCTCGATCAATCTCGATTCTGTAAAAGTATTAATCCTCTGACTATCCGCCATGATGATGAACTATTTTCAATGTTGTCACTGTATGACGTGGCATAAAGGCGTTTGTTGATTGGATGCGCGTTTGCAATCGTCGCGAGTAGAACAAACTTTTTGTTTCTAGTTGCGATTGCGGTTGCGCCGGTTTTCGAGGGGGATTACTAGTTAACGGGAACAGCCGTCGCGGTTGCAGTCGCCTGCGCGGCTGGAAATCGCATAGTGTGACCAGGGCTTAAGGAACGTTACGATAGTGCGCATAATCGGGCGAAACGCGGCCACTCGTACGATAGTTACGGGCCTTTAAAAATTTGTAAGCTTTCATTCGCGAAAGAGCGTAGAAATTTGTCGACGAAACCAAATAGTTTATAATGTCACCACATTCTACTTTAGGCCACGACTCTCTATGTACAGCCCTGGTCACACTATGCGATTTCCAGCCGCGCAGGCGACTGCAACCGCGACGGCTGTTCCCGTTAACTAGTAATCCCCCTCGAAAACCGGCGCAACCGCAATCGCAACTAGAAACAAAAAGTTTGTTCTACTCGCGACGATTGCAAACGCGCATCCAATCAACAAACGCCTTTATGCCACGTCATACAGTGACAACATTGAAAATAGTTCATCATCATGGCGGATAGTCAGAGGATTAATACTTTTACAGAATCGAGATTGATCGAGCTTATTCAGGCTCACGAATACTTGTGGGATTTCAATTCTTCGTTTTATCGAAGATTTTATCTTTTCATGTATTTTCGCCAGGTCTATTAAAATAATCGCCTTTTTTCTTTTATTCATTCCAGAAAAGGAACTGCTTGCTATTTTAATAAGAAAAGTGGCTAAAATTCCGTAAATACTCTGAAGTAGAACGTAAAATATCGGCAAACTCACGAAAGTAGTCAAAAACAAGCTACTGTAATTTTATTGGTTTATTATAGGGAGGGTCACGTGTTTCCGAGTTGCAACGTCAACGAACAATGTGTGACCACGAGAAGACGCGCGCGACTCGCACTTGCTGCAGTCGCCTGCGCGGCTAGAAATCGCATAGCGTGACCAGGGCTTACCACGAAGATGCTGGCTTCGTATCGATATAACGAAAGTTTCTCTTCGTATAAAACAGCGTCCCATCCCGTCAGATTGCGAGAATGGCCCGCCAGAAAAGCATCTTTTTTAACTTTGTCCACGATATAAAAAACGCCGCAGTTCTATTAAGTTTAAAATAGGTTCAATAAACAGTGTTTACTACACAGTTTGCCAAGGTTATCGTCTTCGCCGCAACAACCACGCCGGATTTTTTCCATTATTGCCGACTCTGTCTACATTTGGTTCACCAATCGTTATTGCGTCACCAACATTAGCCGTTCTCGCTTTTTAAGATTAGACAATGCATTTTCCCTCGTTCTAGACACACTTGTTTTTTTCTATTTTCGAATCAACTGTTTTTTCCTGGTCACGTAACACTGACATCGTCCTGGTTTTTGGAAATCGGCTCGGTTAGATCTATTTGGCGTGAAAGGAACATTGTTTTTTCGGATAAATTTCGCACAAGTTCGAGTAAATTATGATCGTATCTCGTATTCATTGTAATATTTTTATATTTCGTACGGTTTCTGTCGCCACGGTCAATACGCAATACGGGCATCGGGCAATGCCCGAAATATTTCTTCAGTGCGAATGTAATATTTAATCAGTCGCAATTAATTTCTCTATTTCTACTACGAATACGACGTCGCATCTACGTAAACGCCGATATTCTTCCGGTAACTTCCGAGTCACTTTCGTTTTTGACTCCGTATCATTGTCAAATACACCGATTTCGTAAAAATTTGACTGTTCTGACCGTTTGCTATTAACTCGTTTATTCGTCTCTTAACGATTGCTCCACCATCGCTACTTTTTTCATAGAAAACAGTATTTTGAATCAAAAGTAAAATTAAAATCTCGCTTAAGATTAACTGCTGGACACAGAAATTTTTAAAATTCGATACTAATCGCAATAGGCACGCGCAAATCAGATACGACTGCCGATTGGCTAGCGTATGTAAGATGTTCGCTTCTCGAGGTATTATCGCTTTACCCGACCGGTCGATCTGGTAAATTATAATAGAAAACCCGATATTTATTACAGCGCCGATTTTGTTTATCATCTAAATATATAAAATTACTTGTCCCGACTGACTGAGTCACTGATTCATCATCGCCCAGAGCAAACCGCTGAACCTAAAGAGGCGAAATTTGGTACGAGGTTAGGGTACTGTACGTCGTGGAAACACGCACTAAGAGGAGATTTTTCGAAATTCTCAGGCGGGGAGAGAGGGAGTATTAAGGCTTATCCCGAAAAATGGCTTCTACTGTACTATTTTAGATGCAGATTTTTGTTTTCGAACTACGTTTAGTCTACGTGAGTACTTAGGTGTATTAAATTGATAACGTTTCGGACATTGTTATAAATATTTTTATGTATTTCGATTTTAAAAATGTTCAAACCGTTTTAAATTCGAATTTGTTATCGCGTATCGGTTCGATTATAGAACGATTGTAAACGTTTCAGAAAATTTATCAAATCGAAAACAGTTGGTTCGATTGTCATCATAATCGGCGGTAGGTGTTATATAACAATTACTATGGTTGTTGAAATACTGAATATAAATGGGGTTTGCTTGCAAAACACAGCGGGCCAAGTCGCGGATAACAGCTAGTTACGAATAATGCCCAAATTAATCGCTTAGTCCATAATATACACAAGAATGACTCGTGAAAAATATACTGTACCCAGCAATTTAAATAAAAATTTTTACTCGAGTTATATGCCTAACGTGATTTTTAGTCCCCGTTTTTAAACGTTTTCGGCAAGCTAAAATGCTAAGGTTATTTATTAACAAAGCTACCTTAATCGGCACTTCTTCAATCCTACGCTAACATTTGTTTCTTCCCGCAACAAAGTGACAAACTTCCCGGTAAGCCATTCCTCCCAGTTTTTATTCCGCGGGAGAAATTCTTGTAAAGTTCTCCGTATCGCATTTTGGCAATATTTGTTTTACTTCTCATCCAGTGGTGAACGCGAAAATGGTCCCGGCTTTAATTCTATCCCGGATAAAAATTAAAAGAATTTGAATTATATCACGCTTTATAAACCAAATATTCGACATTTCGCTCGGCGACTCCAACCGAACATCGATCGATATTTAGTATTTCGAGTACTTTCCCCGGGTTTAAATTGCGCCAGGCGAAAATATACGTCGTCCCGGTACTCTGCGGCCAAAGTACCCGACGGCGATTTTCCTGCGCGGGAGCGGTGACAAAGGCCGTCGAATGGCGCAAAGTGGAGAGGCGATAACCCGAGGGTCGGCGGAGACCGGCAGCATTCCGTTGGTAGGGGAAAAGAAAAAGACGAACGTTCCGGTGAAAGTAAATTTATTGAAAACAAAAACGACGGATACACGGGAACTGGCAGTGTAAAGAAAGACTCCTCACTTTAACAACAAAAATACTAATATATACAAAGTTAACCGTAAAACTTTGTGAAAATGGCAGTGACTGCGACTTAAAAACTGCGAAGTGTCTTCGATAACGTCACGCGGCGGATTTTCGTCCGCTACGTTACGCCCGCTTTTATATTGAGCAAACGCGGCAACGGCCGGACGTCTCCAACAAAAAATCCCAAATGTTCTCGGACGGCCCGATCCTCACCCCCACCGACGATCGACGGTCGCTCCCGCTCGTTCGACGCGTGGGAATGCACCAAAGAAACGAGCCACGCGGAGAAAAAGTGGCTAAAATCGTACAAAAAGAAACATGGGGCCACGGCTAAACGTAGCCGGAATCGCCGCGTTATCCGGTCCGATAACGCGAAGAAACGTTGGCCCGCGATACAAAATATTCTCCGGAAAGAAACGAACGAAAAGTTAAAATATTCGTCTTGTCGACTAATAAATTTTGCCCACTCGAATATTTCGAAACGTATCCGGTGTTTGTTGCCGTTTACACGGAGACGTACGGTACACGTAGATATATACGGCATCGAAGTTGTTTGCCAGATTCTTCGCATCTAACGAACAAAACTCTTAATACTGGCAGTGATGAATCGCTGGATTTCTGGCAGTTACACATTCGCGTAGATCCATTGGAATAAAATAGAAAAGTAAAAATACTCCCGTAAATCGCTAAAATCCTTGGGCCATCCGTATCTTGTCCCGTTCCAATCGTCCGTAAAAACAACAAAAAACGGGTTGATTTAACGGATCGAGCAAACGTCTGGGAATTAACGTAATTTCCGGGCTTTCTTTGGTTGGTTTTTGCAGGAATCATTTGAAAACTTCGTCACGTGCCGTTTGGCAGTTGGCAAGTTCTAAATCTTGGAAAATCGGCCGGTGACTAACGTAAAAAGAATAACGTAAAAAATCGACATTAAATGATATGCTAAGTGGCTTTTTCGCTCCGATATACATTTCTAGTATTACGGACGACGCGTTTCGAACCGTCGCTTGTCACGCGTCGCTCGCTAAAACTTTACACGAGATCCGGAAGAGAATGCTTCTACAAACGAAGGCACAGTCTTTTCCCTCTTCGGGAGTGTCGACTACTTCTTCTTTCCACGCGATTCCAACTGTACATTGTAAAATTTTTTACTCTTTTTGGCGGCACGGATAATCGGATATCGTGCTCTCTCATTGTCTCGTACACTAACTTACGTATATATAGATATATACATATATATCTAAATGAGTGCGTGTGTATATATATATATATATATATATATATGTATATATGTATATGTACAAATGACAAATTACTATCAGATAGATCTTTCCAGTGAGGCACAGCATTTTTCCAATAGGACGTTCTTCGGAATGAAATACACACGATGGGAATGCATTCAACTTCTGGTCGCACGTGATTTACTGTCATTCTTTCGACGACGACGACGACGGACGTCTCGGTCCGACACTAAGAAATGGGTCTGAATTGACCGAAGCTTTCCACTTCTGCTTCCATTTCCTAATAATAAGAATAATAATATTAAAAAACCTCCGTCAGTTATCGGGCAAATACTCGAGAACTACCTCCCGCGGTGGATTAAAAACTAAGTTAAAAATCTTACGGTCAAAAGAAGTCGCTTGTCCCAGGATCGGCGATGTCTGTAGATGCAACTATCCAGAACCCGATAAGACTTCTCCAAGGAATCCGACGGCCAATCGTCCGTTACGGAAACCAGTCTGTTCAAAAGACCGTACAGTCTGTCCTGATCGACGGACACTTCTTTCGGCATTTCTAAAATAGAAGGTGCGTTAGACCACAGAGATTCTAAAAGCAGTCTATTTGTAACTAAGTACATCGATCCACACTTTGATAATCCAGTATATAATTTAATGCAAATTCGACAAACTTTTCCATCTTACGCGACATCTGCAAAAATAATACACTTACACGAAAGCTGTCTCTCGGTCTCCATCCAGAACCCGATCACTTACGCGGCGACTGGCGCGACCTACTTTAAAACATAAACCAACTCGCCGTCGTGGCTTCCCACCTCAACCGAGACACCGTGGTGTCAGTCCTGACAAGGCATCAAAGAGATGCCGACCCTCCGATCATAAAAATATATCATTTATTTTATTCTATATCTTACTACCAGGAATGTCAAGGTTTTGAATGGTGTACTTAGTTATAATCGTTGATACAGTTAACAAGAAGAAGTTAATTTGTGCAGTCCATTTGTATTTAATTAAAGTTGGTCAATGATCTTTCTGGGGTATTAATTACATAAGATGGCCATATTTATCGTCCAATATGTATAAGCAGATATCGTTTTAACTGGACAAAACTAAAATTCATTCCACTCTATCTTACATTAGTGATAGAGTGGAATGAATTTTGTTACTTTAACATTAGTGATGGCATCCAATGTCTTTATTGGCAGTATCCAATATGTGACCCAATTGAAATTTTTCCCCAGCCACACCAAAGTGTGCGGCTATATACATATTTTGGATTTTGTTATTCATAAAATTCAAAACAATCTTAGGGAGGATGTACACATCAGCACAAAAGCAAAAAAAGATTTCACAAATGTATCTTTGCCACTTCTGTGGTCATTCTGCCAAATGGCAATCTGCTTAAATTTCAGTGCATGCATATAATATTCAAAACAGTGAATGATCCAGACACTACCATAATCTTGTTTACAAATTTCATTTTGTACAGCCTGATTTATTTAGTTAGAAGAAGTTGCTGAACGCCATTAAACTGAAAATTTTGGAAGAACTAACAGCTACAATGTTTTCAGGAGCGTAATCAAATAAGAAACTATGATTCGAGAAACCAGGCAGAAAGAGTTTAAAAAAATCCAAAATTATTTTTTTTAACTCTTTCCACCCTGTGGGCACTAATAAGATCTCTTTTAGCAAGCCCATTACAGGTTTTGCCAGGTTCATTCAGCCAGATGATGAGGGATGGGGCATGACATATCCAGATGGACCCCCAACTGAAAAATTCCCAGGGCTTTTTCTACCCTTCTGGATTTGATCCCAAGTCCACAGAGCAGTAGGCTGCCACCTTCACTGCTCAGCAATCAGGCCATTAAGATTTTGGATTAAAGATATTTTATAACATTTAAAAAGAACTGCTTTGCAAAATATATTTATTTCTTGATTAAGGTGTTTTGATAAAGAAAAAATACTGTTTTTAAAAGGATTATTTTGTTTTGTTCTTTGAATTACATTATATATGATTATTTGTGTAGAATTTTGTGTTAAATTTATTGTTGCCTCCTTTTTTTAAGGTCAGTTATCTCATTTAACAGCATTTAACTTTCTGTATTAAAACGTGTGAATCTATTGTCTCATATAATTATTGTTATTGGCAAATAGAAATGTGTCTTGGCACAGCCACAGCAAATGATAGAATTCGACCAACTTTCGCAGCACAAAACTGACTTCCGTAACAAAAAAAGTGATGTCATTCTTCCGCTTTTCATTGCCGTGCCTCTTGTGCATTCACCCTTATTGGACACGATTGGATTTAGCAAGTAAAACACCACGAGCAAGTTGATCGTGAGTGCAACGAATATTGGTTGATGACAAGCAACCAAAGATAAGCCAAGCCCTAAGTACAACACCAACACCAACCACTTTGATTCTGCTCTGGTCAGATCTTCCTGCTTGGATTGGTTTGGTCTGAAGTTTTTCAAAGTAGCAAAACTGTGCCAAAGGTCCAATTGGTCTTGCATTTCTGTATGGCAAGGTGCAGATTAAATTGAATAGCAGTTCTTGCAGTTACATTTGAACATTCAAATCACATCAAGTGCCCTCATTCTGAGCAAGTACTGTATATTTCCGCAGATAAAACGACCTTCAGATAAGACGGGATATAAATTTTCGTCAAAATTTTATAGTTTTAGCATATATCTGTCCTATAAGACAACCCCTAAACTACCTATGAATTTAGTTTTGATCAGCAATCACATCTGGATAATAATACTGTATAGCATATATGGAATTATGTCCTATTCGTAATTTTTCGAATGAACAAATTTTATTTTCTTGCATCTGGAAGCACTGTCTTGCGAATGTTACAAACATTTGCACTGATTCAGGTATTTGGGTAATGACCTTGACTATTCACAAAAATGTCATATAGGCTATTCTATTTTGTGGACATACCCTACTAGTAAATAATTACAGTTTGTCCATTTTTTCCTCATAGCTCAATAAACATAACTTTTAATGTTTATTTTGTTCCAGCAGGGTTTTAATTTATATAAATTTCAATCTAATTTTTTTTGTATCCGTCCTATAAGACAACCCCAGATTTCGGAAGCCTTTTTTTTTATGATTCAACTATTGCCTTATCTGTGGAAATATATGGCATAACCTTGATTTCAAATTCCACAAAGAGACTGAAACTATACTGAATGATTTGCTGCATGCCAACTCTGCTAATTGCTTCTGTGTGGGTCCAATCCAAGTTGGTATGCATGCTGCTTTATTATCTGAAGCAGTTTACTTCAATTGCATCTATAAGATGAGAGTGTTTTTAATGTAACATCTACAAATTAACATAAATGTCTCACGTATGAGCTAAGTTGGCAAAAGCATGTTGCAAATTAATGAGTCACTATATGAGAACAGTGGGCCATAAATACACATAAAAAAGCAAATAAGGTAAAAGAATCAAAGATGATTTTATGTGATCATATCAATATATATATATATTTTTTTTTGTTTAACTTTCTCAATTTTGTTTATTGTTTTCATTGTGTCTGAAAAGAAATATGATGAAAACAGAAAGTTCCAGAGTAAATGGGAAGATTGTCTTTTGTTTGAATAAAAAAAGTACAAAAGCTGTCTGTATAATTTGTCATGACTCTATTTTGACCTTAAAATACATTATGGACAAAAAACTGAAGAACATACTGTTGGCAAATGGAAAGCTATGTTACAATTATTTAAGGCCAATCAGGCAGCTCAACAGAACTTATATCACAAGAAAACTGCACCAAATGCTATTGCTGGTGTTGATGTGCAAATGTTTCATATTTTGCAAAAAATGAAACCCTTTGCAGATGATAACTATGCCAAAGACTGTAATTGGCCAGTTGAAGAACTCTGTCCAGAAAAAGTGAACTTTTCACTCAAATCAGTGTCTTGCATCAAACTTTGCACAAAGATTGATGATACTTTGAAATTTGAGTAATCCTCAATGCAATTTCAAAAAACTGCATATTTCTCACTGGCTTTAACAAAACAATATATATTAAGAATATTGCTCAGCTTGCTATTTTTATTACAAGTGTTGACAGTCAAATGAATGTAATGGAAGAACTTGATCTTGTGAGATTGAAAAATACAACAACCAGATGAGATGTTAAAGAAGCTGTCATAAACAGCATACAAATTCTTCAGATTGATTTGAAAAAATGTTGGAGCTGATAATCTGATTCCTGGACACACAGAAGCCTTGAGAAAAAACTTTAGATTTTTTTGCAATTGCTTTCTGCATCCTGAAAACTTATGTGAACAAGTATTTAAATCAATTAATATTTTCAAAGCTGGAACTTTTTTGTCCAATAACATGCAATATTCTGTAAACATCCTTCCAGCAAGAAAATATCTTTTGATTTTCACAATAGCAAATGTTTTTGTCCATCTTCAGAGGCCTGTACCAGGATTTCACAGAAGAAACATAAATGTAAACTGAAATTCCAAATTTAGAATGTTTTTGAGATTGTTTTTTCTATGTTATATTATATATCAAGCAATTTAGCCTAGAGGTAGGTATTAAGTGTCATCCATTGATAAATTAATTTAATTTAGAAAGTTCTGAGAGAAAAGAATCAGCCTGAAGCAGGATTTGAACCTGCAATTCCCACATACTGTGTAGCAAAGATCAGACAGAGATCTGGATCGAGTAACTGGCATCAGATCTACACAGTATGCAAGGGTTGCAAATTCAAGTCCCACTCCAAACCGATTATTTTGTTCCAGAAAATTGTACATTAAATATAAGTTATTGTAATTATTAAATCTAGCATGAGATGACAGCACAACTGCCTACCTCTAAGACAATTATTTAGTATTTAATTAATTACATAGCCGTATTATAGCCTGATAATTTGACATTTCATTCAGTTTAGATTTATTCATATATGGCAACATGACATGAGTGATCTGCTGAGAGGTGATGCCTCCCAGAAGTCTATTGTGAAAAACTGGCCCTTATTTAGATATTACTAATGTGAAGAAAGCTCAGAAAACTTCATTTGGCCAGTCTGTTGGCAAGGCATGAAGCAGCAACCAACTACTAGGATTCGGTGATTTTATCCACTCACCCACCAGAGAACCACATATCATTTGGCTGATAAAACAATGACTTTCTAAAAATCATTGTTTCAATGAAAGCGCACCCAGTCAACAAGGTAAGTAATCAAGAATAATTACAACCTAATTAAATATGTCTGAAAGAGGAGATTGGTCCAGAGGCTTGAATAGTGCAACTGACAACACACCTGCACAGTAAGTGGGAGTTGCAGATCCAAGTCCTGCTCCAGGCTGATTTTTCTTCCATAATATTCTGAATTATAATTATTAAATTTAATAAGAGATGGCATCTAACACCTCCTCTAGTGACAAATTATTTAGAAATTAATTTTTTTTAAATCACAAAAAGTAGCCTGATTTAATCCAGTAATAGTGTGGAAAGTTGGTAAGATGTGTCTTCAGTGAACACTGATTAAGAATGGTAGAAAGTTTTGAAATATGTAAGGTCACATTAAAAGGTAGTTGTATTAACCACAAAGATTGTGAATCCCTATCTATTGCATGTCATTTCTTGATAACCTCCTAGGGTTAAAAAACATGGCATAAATATATACATAATAAAATCACAATAGCTAATTTTTGAAATGTGTTTATTCTTGTTTGGGTTTTATTTTATTCATATATAAAATATATTTTGAAATCTGATTCTCTGTACTTGATATTAAAAATATGCACTTAAAACCTAATGTTCCATTGGTTAAAAATTTGTAAATAATATCACAAAATATGTTGAGCATTCAAATTTAAAATGTTGAAAATTTGTGTCTGACAATCTTTGCACTGATCAGAAACAAAAAGGATCCAGTAGAGGAGCATTTTGCACCAGGTGTATATGCTATTCTATTATATGACACCTGTGTGGACTGTTCCTTGGTACACATTGGAGTGACTGCTGTGGCTCTTGGAACTAGATAACGGAACATGAACATGATGTTAGTAAGAAGTTCTCAGACATGGTTCTGGTGGCATATTCTTTGTGATGTGCAGGTGGATTTTGAAAGTGCACATCTACTACATTGGACCTTGGATTCCACATACTTGAGATAATTACAAGGCTGTTGGGAACAGGAGAACAGTCAATTTTAGAGAGACTGAAACATTTTGGGATTTAAATGTTAATTAGAGGAAAGGAAATCTATTGTCACAAGACTTTTCCTAACACGATTGAAATAAATAAATTTTCTACAGCATGGAAGGTGTGCTTAGGACTTCTGTTCTAAGTATTTATAATTATACTTACAGACATTTTAAGCTTAAAGTTGCAATTTTTAAATTTTATGTTTAGATTGGTAACACCTTGCCAATGCATATGTGTGCAATTCAAACCACATTAAATCTTTATATTTAAATGTGTTTGATTGCTTAATGTTGTTTTGCTTGCTAGTTGTTATGATATACCTAGTGATGTTCATTAGAAACAAACAAAATATTCTTATCAGTAAATAATTTTATTTCTTTTACTGGTTTTGGGTATATTTGTGTTGTTTTCATATAACTTTATGTTGCTAAATAATTTAATTTTGACACAATCTACGATCTAAATGTAATGGTTTAATCAATTTTTAAAAAGTTGTTTTATCTATCTATTTTTATAATTACTTATTAATTGATAAATAGAACAGAAAAAAAGAAATGTGATTTTAAAAAATATCTTTCAATATGCATTTGTATCTTTCAAACATGAATATATTCTCTTGGTATTCTTTTTCACAAATTTTATAACAACATCTACAATGAAATGTAACAGTGTAACAATGTTTTAATGTTTCAGATGATACCTTTAAGCTCTCTTTCCATGTGGCAGTAAGTGATATGCTATCAAAGGCTGCTCTGGAGACACAGGATATACACAATCACGAGTTATATGCACAAAAATATGCTAAATAAATTAGCCAATAGCTTTAGTTAAAAACTAAATCACTTTCTCTGTGCCTATATATAAGCACAAAAACATTATTATATTTTTGTCAAAAGAATAAAATTACCTTGTATGTTCTCAGATGGTGGCACAGAATGGTTTTCGGAAGCTTGACTTTCTTGCGTTACTACTTCGCCACCAGAATCTTTATTCTAAAAATATTAAACAAATTAATGCTTATTATTTAAAGTCATATTTAATACTATTAAATAAATCAAATACAAACACTAACCTTACTTATTAAATCCTCTCGATTATCATTTTTTGGTTCATTACAAGAAGTTTCAGTTAAATTATCTCTTTGCAAATTAAAGGCATTTGAGCAGCTATTCTCTAAAGTTGTTTTATCACAGTTGTTTCCAGTGGCACATGGTGAGGTAGATAAACCTGAGGAATCTCGACAGTCGACTTCCGACAAACGGGCATCGACATCCTCTGTAGGCACATTACTTGACTCTTGCAATGGATCTTCACGAACATGATTGTTACACGCCGAATCTTTTCCGTGGGGAGGATCAATTTCAATTCCCTCGCAAAGATTTAAGTCGTTCAAAGAATTTGCATGATCTTCAAAATTATTTACCACTCGATTATTGACTATGGAATTTCCCAAATCGTTACCATGCAAAGGAGAAATGGAAACGTCTTTTGACGTTTTTGCATCATTTTGAATTTTAAATGATTCATTTTTGTTACAGTGAATAGGACGCCTATAAATGGTACGAGAACCGAACCAGGCAGACTTCCTTCTTCTCACCACGGCAAAATTAGACGAAGGCTTTCCTATTAATAAAGTATTACAAAAACATAATTTAAATTAATGTATACATACATTTATATTGATTAAACATATTTATTTCATTTTCGAAATGTTTGCAGTGTACATTAACTATTTAATCTACATTCCAAACATTCTTTTTACACTTCTAATCACTCATTACTTATGGTCTACCAGTTTTATAAGCAACTATGTAACCAATTAATTAAAACTAAAAATAATTAAAACTCTAGTATTTACACCAAAACAGAAACAAAAACAAATAAAATCAAAATTAAAGCAATTGAAACATAATATTTTAGAAAGTGTGTGGATAAAATACTTGTTGTCTGTCTTGATTTATTTGGTTATATTTCATGCAGGCAGTCCAAGTTGAGTCTCTATTATAGCATTTCTTTGTAAAGTGTTAGTTTTGGTTTTGTTAGTTGTGATGGAACATTTTGCTTTTAATATACAGATGTAAATAGATACAGTTATAGATAATATATTGCATTTGTAGGCATTTTTATGCATGAAATACAGCTAAAAAGGTAAGAAAAAGTGCTTTCTTTTGGGATCAAGAATGGATTAATCCATTTTATATTGTTTCTTATGGGAAAATTTGTTTTGGTTTTCGAACAATTTTTAGGAATGAATTAAGTTGAAAACCAAGGTTTGACTCTACATAAATAATAATGAAAATCAATTACAGTAGATCCCCCTATAAAACCGTTTCCTATAGTTATGATTCCTATAAAAATTGTGGCAGTACAGTAGATCCCCCTATAAAACCGTTTCCTATAGTTATGATTCCTATAAAAATTGTGGCAGTATCCGTAAACAACGGTAAAAATAACTCCTATAATACGTAAAACGTCATCGGGCAGCCGAACTACTTTCCCGCNAATTAGTTAATTTTAATTTAAATCAAATCAATTGAAACATAATATTTTGAAAAGTGTAAATAAAGTACTTGTCCATCTTGACTGATTTGATTATATTTCTTTCAGGCAGTCAGAGTTGAGTTGAATATTTATATCACCACTTCTTTTTAAGTTGTGAGAAGTGTTAGTTTCGGTTTCGGTGGTGATGGAACATTTTGCTTTATATATATTATATAAACATCTGCATCAAAATTTTAATGGGTGGCGAAATACTACTACCTACCTCAGAAATACTTATAATACAGTAGCACATCGATTATCCGAATATCAATCAACTGAAACATCGGTTAACCGAAAGCGTTCCAGTTGGCAAATTTAAATTTCCAATAGTGCTGTGGCGGTGCAATATTTGGCTATGTGTTAGGCTACTCCAATATTAATTTTTTTGGTGTGCATGTTTTAGCTGGCAGTACTGGCACAACAATGAGAGGGTACTTAAAGACGCGCCAGGATTTGAACGAATTTCAACACGGGATAGGTTAATATATTTTTTCATACATAATTGGTTATCCAAAAAAATCAATTATCCGAACAACCCCAGTCCTGAACTGTTTCGAATAATCGATGCTCTACTGTACTTGCATTACCGAAATATTCTTTTGAACTAGGAACAACTAGATACATCTGTGAAATACTGAAAAGTTTTTAACAACTTTTTTCTTATAATTATTATTGTCATTTAGTAATAAAATTAAGATTAAAGATAATGATCCAGAAAGACACTATTTAAATATCTGGTCATAACCTTATCTTTACTCTTGTTCCAGTATTTTATCACAAGATCCATTTGAGTTCTTTGAGCAACTTTGTTTAGTGATTCATCAAAGGAGATAGTAATATTATCACAACTTGTAAGCATCAATCAGTTTTTCTCTGAAATAATGGGCTAGGCCATAATTTATTATATAGGAAGCTTTATCTGGACCCAATTGAAATTGTGTGGATATGCACTGTCAGGGAACATTTCTTTGAAAATGTTTTTAATATCAGGGCATGAATTGAGTGACATCTTTTTCTTTACAACTATCAATGCCCAAGTTAACTCTGCTTTTATTACATCATCTTTTATCACAAAAGATGTCAATGTGCTGCTAAGAAATGTTGATTTGGTGAGAGACTGTTCATTAGTGATCTTAGATCTGTCTTCCACAACAGAAGCCATTTCACACACATTTTGTTGACTATTAGAAGAGTTTGAATTTGTTGGAATTAAAAACCTTATCAGTGAAGTTTGTTCCTACTTCAGTCTTTTTATTTCAACATGACTAGAACTACTTGCATGTGATATATGACTTAATGAGAAAACCTTACAACAAATGCAGCAAAATGCTTTTGTATCATCATCTTTTACAGTTCCTAACCAGGAATTGAATTCTGGATAAATAGCTGGACCCAGCCATTAGAGATTAAACCTTGTTTGTTTCCATGCCATTATAATTTAAGAATGTAGAAAAACACAAACCTTGAATAATAGTATTAAAAGACAGATGAACCAGATCAGATAGCAATGTGTAAGACTTGTTTTGTCACAACACTACGTAAAATATTCAAACACCATCCAATCTGCATCTGCATATATATTAATTAATAGTAGTGTTGCCAACTCAAAATTTAAATTTATAGCTAGACATTTTAATAAAAATACCCAAATCATATTGTTTCCATTAGAATTGTTTAATTGTTTTTTTAGCTAGATTGTTCACAAATCCCCTAAATCAAGAAAAAAAATTAGCTGAATTGGCAACTCATTAAACAAAAACATGTTTCGTTGCCTCCATTTTGATTTTGGTCTCAGTGTAATGACCAGAATTTTAATAATTTTTATTTATTATTTATTTAATTTTGCATTAAATTTCATCTTTGCATAAAATTTTCCTAAGAATGCAGACAAAATTTATTCATTTTAACCCTTAATTACAATTCTTATAATTATTGCAAATCATATCACAAACCATCTCTCTCACTTTTATAGCAAATTTTAATTAAACAAACTAATGTTTTCAGCCATCTTAAATAACCTTCCTCAGGTTTAACATAATTTCAAACGTCAATTAGAACATAAGACTTGAAACTTCGAGTTTCGCTTGTGTGAGATATGACGACTCTTTCCCTTTGGGAAAATAAAGGGGATAAAGTTAATTCTCCCAATGTCAGGAAAGTCGAGGGATTAATTAATAAGTATGTGGGAAACCTGGTACAGATGGACGAAGACACCCTTTACCATTTAACCCATTTATTGTACAAATATGCTTACAATATAGTTAAAGTAGTCTTCATTTTTCGTCTTAAGTTCGTAGTAGCATTGTTGGAATCGGGAGCAATGTTCAGTGAATGATCTGGAAAGTTCATTTGATTTCTATCCGATGTCTAGCACTAACGTGTTTGTCCTGAGTTGGAAAAGTGACTTTTGAAAGGCAACTGTCAATTTGTAGAATAAAAAGACAGTGGCAATAAAATAGCAGATATGAAGTGCGGGGAAATGGCAAATGACCGAAGGTGATTGGTGGCAATGGCTATGGAAGAGATGACTCTCGACAGCCTCGTGTCCTTGAAACACTGGCTTTTATAACCTTCCTGCTCTTCAATCATTCCCTGTATTAGTTTCAGACCCTCATCCATGCTTTAAGATGGAGATCTAATGGATTCTCCAATTTACTTATGTCAATTGAAGAATCAGAGTTTGCAGGAGAAGTCATCATTGTCTTTTCAAACAATGAAAAATCCGACTCCAATCCAAATAATTGATCTTGGGAGCTGCACTGTCTAGAAAATTTTTTGTTTGTTCTTTTTTTTCTCTAATAATTAAATTATTTTATGTTTTTCTATTTTAGTGAGTTCCGGAACAATTCTGAAACCTCACGTGTATTCCTATGATGTCATAGTATTACAAAACTTGGAATTCTTAAAACTTACAGAATTTAAATAAAATAAAATAAATACAGAAATAAACATCAAACGAAATTACAATTATATGTTAATAAAATATAGTAATTCAGCGCATAGAATCGTAACTACAAATCTCTTTCTTTTGCAACATAACTATAAAAATTGTTTTGGTGTTGTTTCGCACAAAAGATAATCAAATTTACTTTAATTTTTTAGTAATTTAATTAATTTCTTAAAATTTTAATTATAAGCAAGTTAACATTGGTTAAACTATTGGATTGCCTGTTGATTTTCAAAACTATAACTACAGTATATTTATTACAGGTATGATCAATGTTGCCAGTTTTTAAGCCCTAAATTTGCCAAAATCAGTGATAATTGTTACCCAACATCATTTCTGTTAAACTAATTATTAAACTATATATCAAAGTTGTGGAAATTAACAGAAGAGAGGGGGAAAAATACACTTGCAGTACAGTACTTTCAAGGAAAATCATAACAACAAATGTAAAAAGCTTGTGCCAACAACAAGTCAGTGCCAACATTTTACTGTAAATGTCAGGTACCCATTTATAATTTTTTATGTTGGTAGTAATGTTTTAACATGAAAAACGATTAAATTACAGATTTTTACTGATCTATAGTATTTAGGTATTTTGAAGTGAACATCCTAATAAATTATGATTTCAACTTTTAAAAGTTCGCAAAAAAATTTTTAATTAATTATTTTTTATTCTAATTAACAATTTCATCTTTTTATAGTCACTAAATTATTAAAATTAAAAATTATTACATAAAAGTAGTTTATCCCGTTATTAATCCACAATTGTAAAATTATATGACTTCAGAATGGTGAAAAAAGCCATTTCAAAACAGATTATGGTATATTTTCTTATTAAAGATTGCAGCATTATCTCTTGCTGCCTGCAGATGGCTGTGCTTGGTCAGCCATATTCAGCTGACGAAGCCAACAAGGCAGCTAAGGAGACAAATTCCCTGACTTTCCATGACTTTTTCCAAACACTAATGAAAATCCCTGACTTTCCAGGTGCATAGGAACCCTATATATAAAGCATGCAAGTAAACACTTTTACTGCCGTTTTACTGCTTGCTTCTGCATTATTTCAATTATTCGGCTAATTCGAACAGGGCTCTGCCCCAATTAGTTTGGACTAGCCAGACTCTACTGTATTTTTAATTTCACCATTTAAAATATGTATGCTCAATTCTGATTGGGTAACTGTTTATTTGCATTCTATATATTGTTTTCTGTCCTTTGGCAAAGATATATGATGTGTGCAACGAAAACAAAACAAAAATTTTAGTTTTTTTTTGTTTTGTTTATATGCCATTCCTGTAAATATGTAAATTTGCATACTATAAAAAAGTGCATTAATCTGCAATAAGTTGATGTTTATGCTTATTTACTTTTTTGTATTTACATTTTAAAAGAACAAAACATTAAATTTTTTTAATAATAGTAGTAATAACTTCAAAAAAAAAAAAAGGCAGGATAACATTTTGTTGTGAAAAAAATTAGATAGAAGTTACAAAATTGTGATACTGATTTCAAATTTTGATTTTAAAATTTCTTCAATAAATAAAGCTAGAAGTATACTACTTACAAAAAGACAATAGCCATAGGAAATACAAGCAGACATGTTTAAACAAGATTATGAATAATTACAGGGTCAAAGGTCATTCCTATATCTCACACCACAAAGTATTAAAATTGGTTTTCAATATGACTTTGACAGGCCAAATCTCTAAAATAAAGCAGAATTTTAAAAAAATTTATACAGTATTTTAAGCTTATTTTTGATCCCAGAATCTATCATTAAAATATTGGTGCATAGTTTTTTGTTACACCCTGCATATACGACCTAATTATAATCAATAAATCTCTGCATTTTTCACATCAAATGCAAATTTGAAAACATGTAGAATACTGCTAATAATAAAAAACTTTTACTGTCTGTCAGCATTAAATGAGTTTTTAATATAAAATTAAGAATAACACAAGCACTTTCAACAAATTCAAAATTGTCTTCTTCTGGCAAGGAACAATAGAATATAATTATGTTACAACATTCTAATAGAACAATTAAGAGCTTTGATGTATTAACCATTTTTAAAAATTTTACAACACATCAACATTTTTGAACAGGTGTAAATTACATTTCAGAAGCGTGTAAATTAAACTATTACGGAAGTGTAAAAATGCATTATTTAGATTGTTCATAAGATGCTATAACATCAGATAATAAACAATAAGACATACACATATTAACATCATAGATAAATAAATGGAATATAAAATAAAAAATAAACAAACAAAAAAAATGAAAATCTAAATATAAATATATAACATAAAAAATACTACTACGTACAAACTAGCTTTGTATAAACTGATCCAAACTCCCCCTAGGTCAAGAGATGTTTTATTACATGCTTTTTGTGCTATTATACACAAAGACTTCCATAAGTAAAGTATTCTATGATTGAAACATGGTTTTATTAATTTAAAATTATTTTCTAATAATTTTTGGCAAGATCAGTAGTAGCTCTGCAATTAATGATATCATTTTTATGTTCTTGCAGACAGAAAATGTATGCAAGAATATCAAAATTCATGCAACTATTATGTACCAATAAAAAGAAAATTAAACAAATGGATATGACAGGTATAAATATGATCAAACATATTAAACAACAATAATTTTACTACATAGAATTGACATATAAAATGTTATGGCAGCGTATTAAGGAGCACTATGATTCTATACAGGGTAATAAGCAAAGTGCTATGACTTTGATGCAATGAGTGCAATATAAGGTCCAGGTTTTTATAAAAGCCCTTTAAACATTAAATTTTGTGCAGATAACCATATGATCTGAAAGATGTGAATAGAACAGTGCTGCATATACCTTTTTCAAGCAAAATTACAGCAATTAATGCCAATGACTTCTTTGCCTCAGATAGTAGATGACCCTAGGGTTAAAAAACATGGCATAAATATATACATAATAAAATCACAATAGCTAATTTTTGAAATGTGTTTATTCTTGTTTGGGTTTTATTTTATTCATATATAAAATATATTTTGAAATCTGATTCTCTGTACTTGATATTAAAAATATGCACTTAAAACCTAATGTTCCATTGGTTAAAAATTTGTAAATAATATCACAAAATATGTTGAGCATTCAAATTTAAAATGTTGAAAATTTGTGTCTGACAATCTTTGCACTGATCAGAAACAAAAAGGATCCAGTAGAGGAGCATTTTGCACCAGGTGTATATGCTATTCTATTATATGACACCTGTGTGGACTGTTCCTTGGTACACATTGGAGTGACTGCTGTGGCTCTTGGAACTAGATAACGGAACATGAACATGATGTTAGTAAGAAGTTCTCAGACATGGTTCTGGTGGCATATTCTTTGTGATGTGCAGGTGGATTTTGAAAGTGCACATCTACTACATTGGACCTTGGATTCCACATACTTGAGATAATTACAAGGCTGTTGGGAACAGGAGAACAGTCAATTTTAGAGAGACTGAAACATTTTGGGATTTAAATGTTAATTAGAGGAAAGGAAATCTATTGTCACAAGACTTTTCCTAACACGATTGAAATAAATAAATTTTCTACAGCATGGAAGGTGTGCTTAGGACTTCTGTTCTAAGTATTTATAATTATACTTACAGACATTTTAAGCTTAAAGTTGCAATTTTTAAATTTTATGTTTAGATTGGTAACACCTTGCCAATGCATATGTGTGCAATTCAAACCACATTANTAGCGCCATCTGTTGGACATAAAAGCCTTAACCTAGATTATATATTTTAATTTATATGAATGTTTAACAGAATAATATACAGCCTATGTCCACTCTGAGGTTCCATTCTAAATATTGGTGAAAGAATTTTTGAAATCGGATGAGTAGTTTCGGAGATTACCTGCTGCAAACAAACTTACATTCATACATACATACTTACAAACATTACCTCTTTATAATATTAGCATAGATATGGTACCAAGTAAAAATGGTATTTTTGCAGACCCATAATATTAAATGAGAGAACTAACCACAGTTTTGCCATGTTTTCTTGGCTGTTTCTCCATTATTAGTAATGATCTCTTGCAATTTCTGTTGGCGTTTGCCATGGCGGGTAATGTAACTCTGACTGGAACTATCATTGGTGGTACAAGTTTCTGAAGTGGAAGTTGTTGGAACTGTGCCAGTGGATTTAGATGTCAAATCCGCCTCCACAGTTTCGTTTGAGGAGGACTGCACTCGAAATGGCTTTGGTATGTATTTGCTGATTTCACCTGAAATAAAAAACTTTTACTTAGGCAATAAATATTACATAAATTAATAAACATTAAAAAAATAATCAAAATCTTCAAGAAAGTCTTTTCACTTAAAAAACTTGAAATTAAAACATAGAAAGACTTATGTTGTGTATTTATTAATATTTACAACTTCCAAATACAGTTTCTAATCTCTACATCAATTATAGTAAACAAGATAAATAGTTTACCTCTTTTCACTCTAGCTTCATGTATGTCCTGGCACATTTTTTCAAACTGTTCATCCAACTCACTATCCACCAAAGCATGTGCAGTATCTTTTAAAGCACAAGCACGATGACGTATGAGTCTGTCTAAAATAAAATTCAATTCAATTTGAAACAATTTTTCATAAAACAAAATCAAGATGAATAAATAAAAGAAAATTTGTTGTATTGGATAGATCAATACAAAATTATACTTCCAATTATTAAAAACCAATGGGATCGGTATAAATATTAAAACACTAAAAATAAAAAAATTTTAGTTGAAATACAAGTAAAATTATACTCTTTCTATTTCCGACTTCGAGGATTCTACGAGCCAAAAAATGACAAACAAATGGCAAGGAACAATCATTATTTTATTAATACAATCAAAATGCATTTCGCCATCAGGCCTCCTCAGTGGATACATCAAGATATCAATCACTGGTTACGCTTTATACCCAACAGTCGTTCCCAGCATGAATCATTCCAGCACTCAAATTAAGTACATTTACATGTTCAGCGATACAAAAATGTTCTACAATTTTTCTTTCCAAATTATTTTCTATTTTATACAATATTTTAGTATTTTTTCTATTTATATTACAGTTAAATTCTCTACAATGTAAAAACCATGCTGATTCCGTTCTTCTCAGTCTAATGGCCGCCTCATGTTCCTTTATTCTCAACGCCAATCTTCTTCCGGTTTCTCCATTGTAATAATTTGGACTTCCACATGTACATGACATTCTGTATACGACACCAACAATCTTAAATTGGTCTCTGCATGAATTTTCACTATTTATATACTGATAATGTTTGACATCTTATTCTTTTGATTCGCAACTATGCATATAGAAAATTCTTTAAATATCGGTTTATATTTTTCAAAAAGATTAGTAACATAAGGAAACTTTACATAAGAAATATCTTCTATGTCATTTTTAACATTAAATCTACATTTTAACTATAAATTATACCACTTACAAAGAATATACTTCGGATAATCATTTAACAGAAATTTTTTTAAACAATTGTTTTACTTCAATATCTATATTTTCTTGCTGAGTTGTTCGATTCAATATCTTTCTCAATTCCATAATAAAGACATTCTTTTTATTTTCTATAGGACAGTAAGATTTAAAGTTAATAGTTTTACTATTGTTACATAGTTTTTCATACTTACTAAATGATACACTTGTTTCTTCTCTTTTTATGGTGACATCTAAGAAATTCATTTCGTTTTGTTGTTCATCTTCACTTGTAAATTTTAAATTTTTATGTAATCCATTTGCATATTCCTCAATGTATTTAGATGAAAGTATTTGAGAATCATAAACTATTATTATGTCATCTACATATCTTGCATAATATTTAATACCTGTTAAACTCGAAATTCTTTCATCTATTTTATTCATATAGATATCATCCAGTTTTGGTCATATGACCGATCCCATGGCAATACCTTTCTTCTGCCTATAATACTCTGTAGAAATTTTAAAGTAATTATTATTAAATACAAATTTTATAAGTTCTATTATATATTCAGGAATGTTATATGTTTTAAGACTTTCTATTATCATTTCTAGAGTGATCAAGCGAAACTAAGAACATCCATAAGTAAGGATTTGATTAAATTTAAAGGTAAAAATAAAAATAGTGGTTATATAATAGATAAAAAAGCTGTTAAAATAGTTAATAAAATGAAAAGATTAAGTAAATTTTTTAATAAAAAACATATTTCTTTAGTTATGGCGGATAAATCAAAGCAGTTGGTGATTATAAAAAAGGAATAATTGTTATCTAAAACATTAGAAATAATTTCATCAGATGATTATGAATTATTATCAAGGAATCCTATTGAAGAAATTAAAAGCAATCTCACTAAATTTTTACCTTTAAATTTAATCAAATCCTTACTTATGGATGTTCTTAGTTTCGCTTGATCACTCTAGAAATGATAATAGAAAGTCTTAAAACATATAACATTCCTGAATATATAATAGAACTTATAAAATTTGTATTTAATAATAATTACTTTAAAATTTCTACAGAGTATTATAGGCAGAAGAAAGGTATTGCCATGGGATCGGTCATATGACCAAAACTGGATGATATCTATATGAATAAAATAGATGAAAGAATTTCGAGTTTAACAGGTATTAAATATTATGCAAGATATGTAGATGACATAATAATAGTTTATGATTCTCAAATACTTTCATCTAAATACATTGAGGAATATGCAAATGGATTACATAAAAATTTAAAATTTACAAGTGAAGATGAACAACAAAACGAAATGAATTTCTTAGATGTCACCATAAAAAGAGAAGAAACAAGTGTATCATTTAGTAAGTATGAAAAACTATGTAACAATAGTAAAACTATTAACTTTAAATCTTACTGTCCTATAGAAAATAAAAAGAATGTCTTTATTATGGAATTGAGAAAGATATTGAATCGAACAACTCAGCAAGAAAATATAGATATTGAAGTAAAACAATTGTTTAAAAAAATTTCTGTTAAATGATTATCCGAAGTATATTCTTTGTAAGTGGTATAATTTATAGTTAAAATGTAGATTTAATGTTAAAAATGACATAGAAGATATTTCTTATGTAAAGTTTCCTTATGTTACTAATCTTTTTGAAAAATATAAACCGATATTTAAAGAATTTTCTATATGCATAGTTGCGAATCAAAAGAATAAGATGTCAAACATTATCAGTATATAAATAGTGAAAATTCATGCAGAGACCAATTTAAGATTGTTGGTGTCGTATACAGAATGTCATGTACATGTGGAAGTCCAAATTATTACAATGGAGAAACCGGAAGAAGATTGGCGTTGAGAATAAAGGAACATGAGGCGGCCATTAGACTGAGAAGAACGGAATCAGCATGGTTTTTACATTGTAGAGAATTTAACTGTAATATAAATAGAAAAAATACTAAAATATTGTATAAAATAGAAAATAATTTGGAAAGAAAAATTGTAGAACATTTTTGTATCGCTGAACATGTAAATGTACTTAATTTGAGTGCTGGAATGATTCATGCTGGGAACGACTGTTGGGTATAAAGCGTAACCAGTGATTGATATCTTGATGTATCCACTGAGGAGGCCTGATGGCGAAATGCATTTTGATTGTATTAATAAAATAATGATTGTTCCTTGCCATTTGTTTGTCATTTTTTGGCTCGTAGAATCCTCGAAGTCGGAAATAGAAAGAGTATAATTTTACTTGTTTTTCAACTAAAAATTTTTTATTTTTAGTGTGTTAAAATTATACTTTATTTTAAATAAAATTTCCAAGCAGTGATAAAAGCCAAACATTTCACAAGGCAATATTTTTATATACTGGTAATAATGTGAAATGTGTAAGAGTAAATGATGTTGGATACCAGAAAATTCAGAAAAGAATTTTTATCATCTTACAAATGATGATGAAAAGTAATCCCTAAATGAACATTAGCTGATCTAATAAAAACATTTGTTTTAATTAAATCAGCTAATTTTTATTAAATGTTATATTTAGGGTTTGGTGAGTGTTTTAATCTAAATAAATATAACTCATAACTAGAGGATTTGATCCCGGGATCTCGAAAATCGGGATCCCGACAACTTTTCAGTCCCAAAATTTTCGGGATTAAGTTTTCCTAATCCCGAGATT